ATCAATCGGACCTACCTACCTCCTCACCACAACCCGTCGATCATGCTTGCATCGTACTCCATGGCATTGCCGTGGAAGCGCTGGGATGGCGTCAACACGCGAACGTCGCCTGCGCTGCACGACTCGGAAAATTTACATCCATCCATCCGGATACGTAGTCTGAGCGTTGGTCGTGTCGACACCGGGAAAGACAGCTTGAGGTTGGTTCGCGTCCATTTGGTGGCAGAGTCGGTATGCCGCCGCCCAGTCCTGACGACAGCCTCCCGCTGCTTCAATTCCGGTCGGCCAAGGCGATCCATGAGCCCCAAGGCACGTTCTGGACGTCCGTGTTTGCTTTGGTTGGCACCATGATGGGTGCCGGTGCGCTTTCGCTTCCGAGCACGATGGCACAGGCGAATGTAGTGCCCGACATGATTCTGTTCCTCTTCATGGCCGTGATTGCCGCTGTCGCATGCAATGCATGCGTGGCCACGTCTGAATACACGGGCAAGCACTCGTTCGAATCGATGGCGGCCTTGTTGTTTGGGCCGAGCCGTCAGTGGTTTGTTCGAGTCTTGACTTTGGTGCTCCTCTTTGGCATTCAAGCCGTATTCTTCGTCGTGAGCTTGGACCTGCTACATCCGTTTGTCGCGGCGTACGTTAGCCGCATGATCCTTGGCGCCGTCATCGCGGCCATCACCATCCCGCTCTGCCTTGTCGAGACCTTGTATGCCCTTCGCTACACGAATGCGATTGTCGTTGGGTGCATGTTGTACATTTTCGTGGTCGTCGGTATTCGCGCTGCGATGGTTGGTGTATGGCCTGCAACTGTGACGGATGTGACGACGACGTCGGCCAAGGGGCTTTTGTACGCACTTCCGATCCAAGCGCTGAGCTTTGGGTGCCAGATCAACTCGGTCCGCATTTACGGCGAGCTCAAAGACAAGTCGAAGATGACCAGCGTCAACGCATGCACGATGGTTCTGGGGTTTGCGTTGTACGTGGCGTTCAGCATCCTCGGCTTCATCTGCTTCCAAGGGTTTCCTCCCGCCGACATCTTGACGGGGTTTGCCTCCGACGACTGGCTCGTCAACAGCGTGCGCCTCGTACTGGGCAGTTGCGTCATTTTGAAGATTCCGCTCATTTTCCAGCCCTTCATGCAGGTGCGCTTGGTTTAACACCGTCTTGCTTCGAGATGGTTGTGCGGTATTCGCCTTTTTGAGCATGCCAAGGGCTCGTGGTTACTGAATGGTGCTACCCGCCCTCTGCGCTCTTGAGCAACGTGACGATGCATGGAAGCTCCCCACTGATTCGAGCCCAAGTGGTTGTGTGGCTTTGAATCTGTCCATGGCTCGATGCGATATTGTAGAGCAGTCGACGTGCCAATCGGATCCTTGATGGATGTCGTGTGTAGGTGTTGGAGGCTATTTCGCTGCCTTCCCACGTGATCGAAGCTGGCGACACGAGGTCGTTCCGAGTTGTGGCCACGGTACTGTCGCTGGTCGGCGCGTTCGTCATGGCGATCACGTTCAAGGACCTGAGCATCTTGATGGGGTTTGTGGGGGCGACGGGCGACATCTTGCTCAACTTTGGCGTGCCAGGTATGGTTTTCCCTCGACGAATTGTCAAGTCACAGATGCTCTTGTGGTTGCAGGCATGTTTTTGATGGAAGTGGGGGCCAAGACCAGCGACCGCCGCTCCATGTGGCTGGGTCTGTTACTGCTCTCGACTGGAATTATCATGGCGATTCTGAGCTTGATCGGGCTCCTCGCGTAGATCATAACCCTCCTAACCTATAGACTGCCATGGATGATGCATTCTCAACTCCTTTGCAAACCCATCGCCCTTTCAAAACGTCGGCGCAAGCTCTATCGACTGCCGCCTCGGCTCGCGGTGGCCGTCCGACTATTCCGCTGGCATCCACACGTACGTGTTGTCCAAGTGCACCTGAGTTCGGTTTATCCCAATGTTCAATTGTGCTTGACGCTGCGCAAACAACATTGAATAAAATACGCACATTTTTGGTAAATAGTTTGGTAAAATAGGCACAAATTATGTGCAAATTGATCACGTCAATCGAATTTGTTGAAAATACACGTTTGGCCCGTGGGAAAAACCTTCCGATCGTCGTCACATCAGGGCCGACGTCGGAACACACAAAGGTTCGACGGTAGCGATGGACGACTTCCACTTCGCCACTGGCCATCCGTTTGGACGATGCCGACCGCCAAGGAAGCCGATGGGTTGCCGCTGCTTCAGTTCCGCTCGGCCAAGGTGATCCACGAGCCCCAAGGCACGTTCTGGACCTCTGTGTTTGCGCTGGTCGGCACCATGCTGGGGGCAGGCACGTTGTCGTTGCCGAGTACGATGGCCCAGGCGAACGTCGTTCCCGACGTGTTGCTGTTCTTGTTCATGGCGGCGTTTAACTTTGTCGCGCTGCATGCATGCTCGTCCGTTGCCGAGTACACGGGAAAGGGGTCGTTCGAGTCGATGGGCATCGCGTTGTTCGGCCCTTGGCGCCAGTGGTTTGTCCGTGTATTGACGCTGGTGCTGCTTTTCGGGATCCAAGCCGTGTTCTTTGTCGTGAGTCTTGACATGCTGCACCCCCTCGTTGCGTCGTACGTGAGCCGCTTTGTCCTGGGCGCTGTGCTGACTGCGTTGACGATCCCGCTCTGCCTGCTGGAGACCGTGTACGCATTGCGGTACACGAACGCGATCATCATTGCGAGCATGCTGTATATCTTCGCCGTGGTCGGCGTGCGTGCTGCGATGGTCGGGACGTGGCCGACCACTGTCACCGACGTCACGTCGACGTCGGCGAAGGGGCTCATGTACGCGCTGCCAATCCAAGCGCTGAGCTTTGGGTGCCAGATTAACTCGGTCCGCATTTACAGCGAGCTCAAGGATAAGAGCCAAATGACCGGAATCAACGCGTGGAGCATGGTCTTTGGCTTCATTCTGTACGTGTTCTTCACGTTCGCAGGGTTTGTTTGCTTCCAAGGGTTCCCTCCCGCGGACATCCTCACTGGCTTCTCCACGGACGACTGGCTCGTCAACTCGATCCGCATCGTTCTTGGTCCTTGCGTCCTACTCAAAATCCCACTCATTTTCCAGCCCTACATGCAGGTACCATCGAGATGGGGCGACGCATGAGCCGCTTACGCGAGTTTTTCATGTTGGTTTCTCTGCTGTAGGCATTGGAAGGGCTTATGTTTGCTACGAGTGCCCCAACATCGGCGTCGATCTCGCTGGACCCTCCCCGTGAGAACAAACTGCGCGTCGCGATGACGGTGGTGTCGTTGGTTGGATCGTTTATCATGGCGATTGCGTTTAAAGACTTGAGTGTGATCATGGGGTTCGTCGGCGGCATCGGCGATCTCTCCATTAACTTCGCAGTGCCCGGTAAGTCTTGTCATGGCACATGCGACAAGCTAAGTGGAGCCATTAGGGCTCTTCATGATGGAAATGGGGGCCCGCACGTGCAACAAGTGGACGAAATGGGTCGGCATTGTCTTGTTTACGTCCGGCATCGCGATGGCCATTTTGAGTTTAATTGGTCTGCTGGCCTAAAGCAGCGGCCGTCTCCATGCACCGAAGACCCTGTCGCGCTAAAGACAATGCTGCTGAACCACGCGAACTGTTCACTTTGATCACACTAGTCGGGCGAATGCTCCGTTCTTTACGTAAAATGTCCATGCGGTCCATCGAAACTGGTGCCATGCGCATCAAGTATGACGTTCGTTTGGGAATGGCAGCGTCGGTGCGGATGGACTGCCATTTAAAACCTGCCACTGAGCACCGAATCTACTAGGACAGAACTCGTGATAGTAATCGGTATGCCGGGCATTTAGCGACTGGGGTCAGGCGACTGGTGCTCGATCTAGCATGCGTAGCTGGTTACGAATCCCATGGGTCCCAGACAATGCCGGCCGCGCACGGCCTTCCAAGTTCACTGGCAGAGCGAGTCATTCACGAATGGAAGTCAGAATGAAAAAATGTCGCTGTGTGAGCCATTACGCCGTAGGGAGAAGCAAAAGTCGGCATTCGAAGGCAGGGTCGTGGCTTGAGGAACACTTCGCTGTGCGAGCAAAGACTGCTACCCACCGGTGAGAACGGATCTATTTACATCATAGTTGAATGTCACTACGTGGAGTTGTTTTCCGGGGCCGGTGGAGGCATGGTGACTTGCATGAGTCGCTGCCACTGGCTCTGTTTTTCCTTTCGCTCTTCCATCGCTAGCGCCCGACTCTGCGCTTCGACTTGGAGATGGTCGGCGCGACTCTTCAGTTTCTCCAGGGACATCGTAATGTCGTTCATTTTGAGCTTGAGCTGGATCACTTTTTGAAAGTAGGCCGGAAGTTGCGACATGGTCTGCTCGACGACCATCAAGTCCGGGTGCCCCATCAGATGTAGATTTCGCTCCATCACCACCGATAGCAGATGCTGCACGAAAGCCTTGTATGAACACACAGTCGTAAATGCTCGGTGCATGTACCTCTTGGGATTCAGCGAGTTCTGTAATCTGATGCAACGTGCCTTCAAGAACGCTGTGCAAGTGACTCGCGCCAGCCATGGCCATCTTTTCCAAGGTCATCATCACGACGAGATTAGTTCAGGGTACCTTGTTCCGTCCAACATCCTCGGGCCATTCTTCCTTCATTGCTGCTGCCCATGGATCGACAGGTTCTATGGGCACGCCGCGTGACGACGGTTCAAGTGGCGTGTGCACAGGAATTCGATTCGGCGCTGGGGTGATGGCGACATGACTCACTTCATCCGTCAACACCACGACGTCGACATCCGTAGGAGAAGTGTCGGTGGAATCGTTTGGTTGATCGACTGGACCGTCGTCCTTTCGGACAGAAGGATCAACGGATGTGTTGACGACGGGAGGTGCAGCGACGGGCTTCGATGCCAGCGCAGTCGCCCAGGAGGGAGGATTATATTCTTCTGCTCATTCACATGATACACGAATCATTTCAAGCTGATCGTCGAGTGCATCCTCACCTTCCTCTTCGTCGGACTCATCGTCTTCCCCAGAGAAGACCTTCCCTTGCTTTGCTGCCATTTTGCTTTCAGAATGGTATTAGACTATATCATAGATGATTGGCTATAATAGATGCATTTCTACCAATCCACACTAATTGAATGCGATTTTTTGCCAATTACAATGTTTTTATGACCTTGAGCTGTTGCGTTGACAAAGTTCAATTAAATACAATTTCATTGGATGAAAACTAGCCAATCATAAGAGAAAACATCATGCATCTGGATAATTTTATTCGGTTGTTCGACACCAAATCTTCTCTCGATTCTCCATTTGGAGCAGCACACAGGCGAGATCATGGACGGAAGCGGCAGCAGCGCGCTGTCAGATCGATTCCAAAGCCTCGAAGAAGATTACATTGATTGCAAGCGAACCATCAACAATTCGATCCACGACTTGTCGTCCTTAGACCGTACGCATTCGCACTGTCCTTCGTCTCCTCATTGAACCGTAGAACGACATGTGGCGTCGCAAATGGCGCAAGCCAACGTCGTGGAAGCCCAACGATGCATAAAACTCATGTCCGTGGAGCTTCGTGGAAAGACTCCCGCTGTTCGAAAGGTCATGCAAGCCAAGGTACGTCGTGTCAGGTCCACGCTTTGCCACACCTTGCTTCCATAGATCAATGTTTATCGCGATGAGCTTCAAGGTCTGCAGCGAGATCTGGATCGCGCACTTTTGTTGTCCAAGCAAATTAGCAGCACTTCGTCATCGTCGTCGTCGAGTAGCGCGGCTCAGTACGACCGATTAGTTGCCAACACAGACCGCCTGCAACGGTATGCGCATCATCCCTTCGTCGATGTGTCTTAATTGCAGTGCGTAGGGCGTCCGACCAACTGGAGCAGTCCAAGCGCATCGTTCAGGAAACAGAGCAAATTGGGATCTCTGTCATGGACACGTTGGCGCAGCAGCGGGAAACCCTCCTGTCGGCCCATGACAAGGTCAAGGACACGCGAGAGACCGCGGGCGACGCACGGCGAGTCCTTCAGCGGATGTCGCAGCGCATGTTGACGCACAAGTTGACGTTGTGGTTTGTCATTCTGGTGCTCATCGTCGCGATTGTCCTCGTATTTTACCACGACTTTATCAAACGCTCCTAGTCAACGTATCAAGATAAACTAGTCGATTTCTTCGTTATCGGGTGAGTGTATTCCTTGTTGTATGTCGAACACCACGAACGCCATCGGGGCCATCGCTCGCTCAGACGGTGGCGGCGTTGCCGCGTTCGTCGACCAGCATCTTCCAGAACTCGTGGGTTTCCGCAACGACGCTCTCGGCAAAGTCGCGGTTCATGCACTTGCCTTCGTACCCAAACACGTTCACGTGCGGCAGCTTGTAGTCACGGAGCCAGTCGTGGATGGCCGAAATGCACCCCGGCATGTGTGCTTCGATGTCGGCGACGTCGTGAATCTTGGACGCGTAGTGATCTTCGACGTTGATCGCGAGGACCTTCCAGTCCGTTTCGTTGTCGTCAATCAGCGCCAGCACTCCGAGCACTTTGACTTGCACAATCGACCCAACATGCCATTGCTTGGTGCCGATTTCAATCACATCGAGGGGATCGTTGTCACCGCCGCAACCCGTGCCTTCCGTCACATGGTCCGGATCTTCCCACGTCTGCGGGAGCGCGCCGTAGTTGAACATCATGTCGCCCCACCCGTACTCGCGCAGCTTGCCGTTCTTTGTGTCCTGCTTGATGGGGTTGAATGGTTCACCCGTCGCAATTTCAAACTTCTTGCGCGTCCACTTGGGAATTTCGCACACAAAGTTGACGCTCCCGTCCGAGTTGTACAACGGGATATCGTGCCACGGCGAAATGCGCACTTTAGACCCGTCGCGGTTGTGGTAGACAAAGTTGACGCGGAAGTCCAACGACGGGCACGGTCCAGTCATCTCGGTTTCGATGTTCCCGATTGCAGGGTTCGCCACGCGAGCCTTGAGAAACTTGAACTTGGCTTGGTATCTGCGTGGCACACGTGAGCGCAATATTGCACACAAGTAAGGCCGTAGCATGCGTACCGCTGAATTGCCGCCGACGCTTCCTGCTTGTGGTCTTCGTTCCACCATTTCATGAATGAAATAAAATCAACCGTGCCGTCGACAGGGCTCATGAACGCAAGCGCTTCGTTCGCTTCTTCGTCCGTGATGGGTTCACCAAGGCGACGATGTAATTCCTTCAAATCAGCAGCGTTCACGCGACCGCTGTTGTCCTGGTCGAACAACGAAAAGATCTGCTTCATGCGTTCCAATTCGCGGGGCTCCAGTGCAATCGCCGTCCCGTCATCCAAAACACTTCCGCGACGGTTGCGTGCACCGCCAGGACGACGATGTTCGCCGTGTTTTTCTGCCTTTTGAAACAACACCAACTCCGAACGAAGCGTGGAAACTTCGCTGCGCAAGTCTTCAAGCTCAAGCAACATCGTAGGCACGTCAATTTCTTCACCGCGCCAAGAATCACTGCGGTTGGATCGGTTCAAAATGGTAGGGTGCCCGCCATGTCGAGGAGAACCCGTCGGGGACGACGCGCCAAAGCGCGCGTACGGCACTTGTTCGCCATCGGGAATTTCAGGGGCGTCGTCCAATTGCTTTTGCATCGTTGCAATCCATTTGACCTTTTCGTCTTCTGTGTCGGTATACACCTTATAGCACTTGTTCGTGGGGGTGTAAAACTACAAGAATGGACATGAAACTCGTGCATGTCAACATAGAAAAGGCACAGCTGTCCGTCTACCTGAAATCCATGAGGTTTGCCTTCCCAGTCGTGCACGGACGAGTACGGGATCTTTCCCTTGAGCTCGCCTTTGGCGGCAGCTTCAGCACTATCATAGTGGAAAATGTACAACGAGTTTTCCTGAAGCACACAGTAGCGTTTCTTCCAGATGATCGAGTTCTTCTCGGGCTGGTTGTACACGTAACCCGTGCACAGGGATGGCACGGCGGTGCTGGCGGTTTTGGCAATCAGTGCGTCGAAAGAAGCGGCGCTCATGTGACGTGCGTCGTGTACGGCAAATCGGAAAATGACGAGGCGTTTCGCCTTTGTATCCGGACGTGTCGAATATGCGCCGACAGTATCCGGATGGATATCTTCCCCAAGAAGTCCTTTCATACTTTATAAACTTTCCACTTCCAATTGCCAAATTTACATGCACGTTTCATTCTAAAAATATAAACATTATTGTAGAACATACATAAAGCAATAGGTACTTTATGCAATTCTTCTCATCGGATGACGCTGCATATCCGGATATGGAGAGATGGACCTGTGAGTTACAATATGGTGTCGCGCCTTACGAGCCTTTCATTTTGACAACGTTGATGGCCATTCCTGGTGCATTGCTGTCACGTCGGCCCTTGGATCGAGAGGGGTATCGCCATATAGACTACGCCATATAAACCAAGTGCCATTGAGGTAGCGTAGTGAAGCGCTTATGTAGGCGCGGGGATCGAGGACATGGCGGGGGTGTGGTGTTGACATGGTGGCGACGTTGCACACGGCGTGAGGTCACAATCGTGGGGCTGCGTCTACTTGGTTCTTGTTTTCTGCGTTGACCCAATGTGCTGCCTTTGTATGACAAAACGGGCTGCGCAGAACGTTGCCTCGACACCACGCGGCTGTCGATTTCCGCCGAGTTTCTCAGCATGACATGCTTCTCCCGGCACAACATCAGGGGCAGCGTACAAATACGACGTCTGGACGAAGAACAGCCCAAGCACGAGGGTTGAAGGCATTAGAAACTTCGCCAACGCCGACGATTGTCAACCGCCCCTTTGCGATTCTTGTTACACGACCCTTGGGAGTGGAGTGCAAAGTAATCCGGATGGAGATGATTCATTCCGACATCCGGACAATTAATTGTCCGGATGTCGGAATGTACTACTAGTGCTACTAGTGCATAGGAAAACAAGAGGCCGACGCGATGGCGTTAATTAATAACAAGAACGTACTGTGGCCACCATTTACAGCACCATTTGAAGAGATCGGGAAGCAAACTTTCCTCACACTCCGCAGTGCACGCCGTCATGTCACGTGTTTGGGTCGGCCCTGGAAGAAAACGTAGACAAATTATTAGTATTACTAGTTCACCGCGATGGCCATTTGGGGACAGTTCGTACACTGCCCATGGCCACCGCCTTGATGCGACAGCGCGACAGACGAGTGGCGACGTGGAGGTTGCAGCTTTGGTGACCGATTTGAGCCAAGGACTTTATGTTTTGGAACGTTTGGCATCGACGGTGCCGTCAAATTCATGGAGGCAGCCGCAGTGGGGCGGTCGCCACCATGTGCGCGAATGTGGGCAAACTTGCGACTGTCGAGGTGTTGTCGACATCGACCATGGCCAGGAGAATCTCGAGAACGCAGTTCGTATCGAGGAAGTACCTGATCAAGCTCGACGCATGCAGGGACACACTCCACGGGGCCACAAAAATCTGCTCCTTGCCATCGACATGACAGATCATGTACTACAATTGCAAGTGCAGGTAAGGGCAATTCTCAGGCAGCCTCTACTTGCCAGGCCAACGAGTGGCGAAGCTCCAACCATAGAATTTGAATCGACTCTCCGACGAACGCGGCCAGATCTCAACGCGAACAGAGCAAGATGCGATGTGCCTTGATGGAGCGCATGGGAATGGCTGGCGCCGTCACATTCCGCCTGGCAGCCACGGCCAAGGCCATGGACAGGCCCGAACCAGCAATCCAGCGTCAGCGGCGTGATCCCCGCCTGGATCGTCTTTCCCGAATCCCAATAGATGGACAGGACAATACCTCCACAGCCAATATTGTGTCCACATTGAGCGCGTTTGAAGGCGCAGAGTTTGGTGGACGTCCATCGAAGCGCCTCGTGTAGCGCATCGTCAGTGCTTTTGATTGCTTCAATGGAGAATGCACCATCCAGCACTCTTCTCTCATGATGTTGTTGGATGCTTGTAGCCTTGGAATTGCGTGTCCTTTGTTCAAGGATCGAGTGCAGTGAACCACACAACTGTCCGCAGCAAGGCGTCCCTGGCACCCGAGTTTTGCAGGGAGATCTGTGCCAGGAGAATTCTAAATGGCAGTCTATGATTGGTTATAAATCCCCGCTGAATCTACCATTGATTGGATCATTTTTATATATACCCAATGTTGAGGCTGGGTGGAGCATGGCGGGAATCGTGGCGGCAGCCGCTAAGAGTTGTGCCGCGTGAGTCGTCAGGATGGCTAGCACCGTTCACTTCAAGGGTGTTGTCGACGCCAGCGCCACCGTCGCAGTCGAAGAAACCATTGTTTTCGCTGGAGAAGCAGAGGCTCTTGCTCCAGGTGGTTGAGGGCGTCCACAACGAGGCAGGTCGTCCCAACGCGACGTCGATCAAGGCCCTCTTCCAAGTGCCAGCGAGAAAACCGTTCCCTGAAGAACTACATGGCATGCGCTTTCCAGTGACGAGTTTGCGGCATGAGAAGCGCCTCGGGCGGCTGGACCCAGATATTGTCGCCAAATTCGACGCGATGGGGTTTGTCTGGGACGTTGGCGAGTCCCAGTGGAACGAAACCAAAGTCGCGCTGACCAAGTACAAGGAAATCTTTGGCAACTTGCTTGTGCACGTTCATTATGCCGTGCCAAGCGGGAATTCGCAGTGGCCGCGCGAGCTGTGGACCAAGCGGCTTGGCAGCGTCGTGAATCACCTTCGTGTGTCGAAAGCAAGAGTTCCGCCTGCGCGAAAAAAGTGGTTGGACGAGATGGGCTTCGTCTGGGACGCCACCGAGGCGAACTGGCACGTGAACCTTCTCGCGCTTGAGACGTACCAAAAGGTACATGGGAATCTAACAGTGGCCAAGGCGTACGTCGTGCCGACAGAGGACCCGCAATGGCCAAAGGAGGTGTGGGGCCTCAAGTTAGGTAACTTAGTGCGAACGCTGCGCAACCGAGCGAGTGGGTTGTCGCCCCACAAACTGGACGCGTTGAACGCGATGGGGTTTGTGTGGAAGATGCGCGAGCGTGGGGCTGGGCCGAGTCCCCCGGCGCAGTTTTCGCTGGAAAAGCAGCACCAGATCGTTGAAATCCTGAAATTCCAACGGACACTGCAGCCACACACCAAGTTTGTGACCGTCCCGAATCGCTTCATCGTTCCCAGCGAAGCTCCGTGGCCTCGGCACTTACAAGGACGCGTCGTCCAAACATCCAAGTTTCGGCGCGCGTACATCGAAGGTGGCCTCGACCCGATGGTTGTGAATGACCTCGATGGCATTGGCTTTGTCTGGAACAACCACAGCCACCAGTGGGCCGTCAAAATCGAAGCGCTCGCCACGTACAAGGCGTTGCATGGCGATTTGCTCGTGGGCGGCGACTTTCTTGTTCCCGACCACGACTCACGATGGCCAGTGTACTTGTGGGGCAAGAAGTTGGGGGCGGTCGTCTTCGACCTGCGCAGCGGTCGGCACAAGCTGTCCCCCGACCAAAGGGATGAACTGGATGCGATGGGGTTTGTCTGGGATGCCATGGCCGATCAGTGGCAGCTCAACTTGCTCGGGCTGCAAGCGTTCAAGGCTCTTCATGGCCACTTGAACATCCCTCGAGCATTTGTGGTCCCAGCCCATGATGCGACGTGGCCCGAGGACGTATGGGCCTTGCCGTTGGGCAATGTCGTCAGCGCCATTCGAAGCGGACGAACAAAGCCGTCGCTCGAACGACTCCAGGCGCTCGACAAGCTCGGTTTTGTGTGGCATCCCCTCGACGATCTGTGGAATCGAAAGATGGACGCGCTCGAGACGTACCGGCGCCTCCATGGCCACATCAAGATTCCCAACGCGTATGTCGTGCCCGATCGAGATGCGGCATGGGCGCCAGAACTGTGGAACATGAAGTTGGGTCTGGTACTCCAGAAAATTCGACTCGCCAGTCGGCAGGATCGGTATCCCCCGCATCGAGTGGACCAGCTGCGAGCGCTAGGAATTGTTTAAACCGACACTATCCGATAGTTTTGCAACGTGCGGTCCATGGCCATGTGTCGATAGAGCTGCGATGGAAATCCCAAACGATCAAGCGGTCGCAGGCATCACAGTCTTGCGGCGCGGATGCGCTCGCCGCGACGGGCAGGAGTTACCTTTTTCGGTTACTTCCATAACCGGCGATCGCGATGCCGCCTCCACCGCCGGGTCCCGCGCCACCACGCAAGCACGTGTACCAGTTCGTCGCAGTCAACGTGGTGCTGCCCGTGGCGATTTACTACGTCGCGCAGGTGTTTACGTCTGACGATGCACTGGCGCTGGCGCTGTCGGCGATCCCACCTGGACTCGAAGCGTTGGTTCAAATGGTCGTGTACGAGACAGTGGACCCGCTGTCGGTGTTTGTATGTCCTCCTCCTCGTCTTCTTTCGACATTCTCTGACCGTCGCCACCGTAGCAAATCGTGTCGATCGTGGTGGCCATCGTGTTCATGTGCATCACGAACGACGCGAAGGTGCTGTTCGTCAAGGATTCGCTGACCACGGCGCTGTGTGGCGCCACGTTGATCGCGTCCACTCGATGGAAACACAACGTTGTCTTGCGCTACTACTACATGGTGGGCGTTCAAGACGACGGCAGGGATGTCCCCCCTGCAATCACGCAAGTGAGTGCGCACATCTGCCGCGTGTGGGGAGGGCTCTTCATCTTTGAAGCCGTCGTGCGCGTCGGATTCATATATAGTTGCTCAACCAGCGTGATGGTGATCGTGTCGCCATGCCTGGCTTTGATATGCTCGGCGGCGGGCATCATGTGGGCTCGCACGTCCTTTGCCAAGCTATCGAGTCCAACCGAGGAAAGAGCTCCACAAGTACACTGCGAACCGTACAGCCCCCCGCCAGTCAAGCTAGCATGATGACGAGATGGACCGCAAGGAGGCTTGCCAAAGGAAGGGGCCACGAGGCGTTGAAAGCCCCCCCCCTCCAACAATCCCTCGGATGTCCACGAGTTGTCCATTCTGGAAGCGGCGACTCGACCCTGCACACCTTGGGAGCTCTCCGCTCTCTCAGCGGACGGCTCGATTTATTCCACCCGGGAGCGTGGTATTCAGGCCATGGCTGGTAGAAGACATGTTCTTCTCGTTAAAAAGTTTGTCCGAACTAGATGGTTTGGTACAACGTGTGGCTGGGATTCGCCGGAGCGTCGTCAGCTTTTGTGACCAGATGAAAGTCGTGGGCTTTAGCAAAACGTACGGTCCATGTGCACACGATGACTGTGAAGAGCAAGGCCAGGCACGGCGACAGAATCACCATGATCTTGATGGGGACGAGCACGACAAACGCGATGCGAACGACGGCCTCTGCAAGCATGCCGATTCCCCACACCCACGACACAGTCTTGCTCAATGCCTTCACGTTGGGGTCGCGCCACTGCGCCATCAACGCCACACGCTTGTCGTCGGTGGTGCCGCAGAATTCCCTGTAATATCGCCACAGGATGTTTTCGTCCCAGTGGATCGAAACCAAGATGGCGCATCCAAAACTCACAGTCATGATCGAGTGCTGCAGCAAGAGCACTTTGGGCTCGTTCGTGAGGTACATGAGCCCCACGGCCAGCACGATCGATGCGACTTGCTACGGACGCAGTGAGGACGGCGAGCGAACGGAGTCGGCCTACCGCGCACGAAATCGGGTCCAACAACCGGTACGCTATCCATTGCTGCAGAGCTTCCAAAGCAGGGGGGGTCGCTGACAGTGCTAGTGCTGGCATGTCTGGCATCGCGAGCGCTGCCGCGTAGTATATTGCAATCGGGAGCAATACGTTCACGACCACAAACTGCTGCAGACACTTGTGCGTTGGCGGTGGGCTCAAGCTCATCCATGACGACGGCTTGAACAAACGCACGGGCGACGGGGCGCTGGTGGTCGTCGCCATGTTGTCTCGCGAGAGATTGTGGTGTGCGTCCACCGCTAAACCACCTTGGCGTCGTGCTATTTATAGTGTGCAACCGACAAAAACAGTGGCTGTCATGCACCCCCCCTCGACGGTCCCGTTGGTCGATGGCGTCCGACTGGCGGGCTGACAGCACACGTGAGGGTAGAGGCTTGCTATTGCATGGCCATGCTTTGCACTCCCCTTGGCCAGCGCGACCAGAACAACACCAGAGCCGCGGCGGAATCGCCCCTTGGGTTCACCCCCAGTGGCGACCACGGGTCGCATGCCATGACATAGTTCGCTGGCTATCAACGCCACGATGGCACCGCTTGGGTCATTGAGACATGGCCACACCGACAAAACATAATCGTGAAAGCCGGCTCCATGAAACACACAGTCGCTGGATTCACGCGTGTAGTGGACAACGTCGTCCTGTAGTCGCATTCACGACCCTCGAGCGTCGTGGAGGTTGCTGCTTCGGACGTCAGGACCCACGTTCGAGCCACCCTGTTGCTCCATCCCATCGCGCTGGAAAAGACCGGTTGGGTCATTCCTTTGGCGGCGACTACGTAGAGAGAGCTCGACGACCAACTTACAACGTCATGTAGGTCATTACGCTGCCCATGACTACATGAAACTCTGTCCGTATGGCCCTTGGGACAGCGTGGGCGATGCATGGCTCTTGCTCAACCGGTCCTCGACCTCTTGATCGATCCAGTCGTCGAGCGCGCTGGCGGTCGGCGCCATGTCTTTCCACCGCAGTCGATCGAGCCGCATCTGTCGGCTTGGGACCTGCACGACCACCGTATTGCACCAAGTGAGCTGATACCCTCGATAGAATCGATCGGTTGTGTTGGTGCGCACTAGCGTCAGCACGACGACGCCGATGCACCCAACGACGCAAAGACCACGCAGGTGATGCTCGACACTGTCTTGGGTGATGGATGTAGTCCGTCCCACAAAACCCCACGCCGTGGCGCCGATGGACCAGCTCGTCAAGAGAAGCCCGTACATGGTGCCCGTGTTAAACACGCCAAACATGTCGGTGACGAGGGCTGGCATGATGGCAAATCCTCCGCCCAGCGCAAACCCCAGTGCGTACGATGGCCATCGAATGCTCGACGTATGGCCCGAGCCGACGTTGGCGAGCAAGAGCCCCGTCGCGACTGCTTGGATGGTCAGGAGGATTCCAAGTACGAGCTTGCGGCCGTACGCCGGGTTCATGTAAAACGTTCGAATCACCACATCCGACGCGAGTGGGCCGGCGACCCGCCCCAAACTCGTGGACAGAAAGAGCAGACTCACAAACGAGGACGCGCCGTCCGACGAGTCGAAGAGGACCCCCGTCGCCAAGTCAAAGATCTCGGGCACAAACATCACGATCGGTGCCACGTTGGCCGCAAACGCCACGTACAACCAGACAAAGTCGGACGACAGGATGCAGTCGACAAGCGTCAGCGCTCGGACGTGTTCGAAGTAGACGTTGTCTGTGTCGTCCTGGCCAAAGTTGACTAGCGTCATGCCGACTTTGAAGTAGTCGTCTTGGAGTTGCCGCGGCGGCGGCGCCTTGTTCACCGGGATGCAGTGGATGTCGTGGCCGCGGATGGAAAAATCGGACGGCGGCGTGCGCACAACCATGGTCGTGACCAGGAGAATGACAAGAGCTGCCCCACCTACGACGACAAGTCAACTCGTCGATCACGCTCACGATGCGTGGCGAAACAGTCCAAACAACCGCTTTACGACACATGTCAACCACGCAGCACCCATCATCTCCCACACCGGTCGATGCACACATCCCAGAGGTTGTTGAGAACGCTGACCTTGTGCGAGAAAGATGCGTTGCAAACCCAACTCGTCGTATGCGTCGCCGGCGCTGTCGACAACGTTCTGGGCTCGATGCATGAGTACCGCGGCGAGTTTGGTCCAAATGCCAGTGCCGAGCCCCATGCACAGAATCGCAGCTCCCGCGACGAGCCCTCGAAAATCGGGAAACCACTTTTGCACCGTCGACATGGTTGCGATCAGGACAAAGCCGTAGCCGCTTCCGACCAAGATGCTGTACCTACGTCGATGTCGCTGTCAGTTGGGTATGCATCATGGCACGTCATGAATGGACGAACGAGATGGTGAAAAGATAGGGTGCGCGCACGGCCACGGCAAGATGGGCCATGGCCAGACCAGCCACAACCAGAACCGACCCGATGACCATCCCGACGCGCGGGCCGCGGCGCTCGATCACCGGGCCTACGACTGCCGCCACAATACCCAAGACCAAGGTGGACCCGAAGAACCCAGAGGAGCCCGAGTACGTGGGCTGGGCAAAGTACCGCTCGAGTGGCGTCGTCAAGATCTGGAACGAGTAGACCGATCCAAGCATGAAGTAGGTTAGCCACACCATGACAGCGACGTGCCACCGGCTGAATCGAATGCATCGCCACGCGGCGAGTCGATTCCTTTGTGGGTACAGCACGAGCCAGCCCTCCGCGTCGACGTCTTCGCCAGACTTGGCCGGGACGACGATGCGCCAGTACTCACGCACCCATGTCGAGCACCCCATTTTTTCCACACTGACCGTCTGCTCTCGAGCAACAACCACACCAAGTGCACGGTGGCCGGACGGATCGCGCTGCCCATTTCATCTTGTCTGGCGCCACCTGAACAGGTCAGATGCCACCAATCCGTCTGAGAAGTAGTTCAGCGCCATCATGTTGTCTATTTTGGGACGTCTGGCATCGAAACAAGATGGCGACGAAACCCCGCAACCCCGAATAATGGCGCCGCCCGGAGCACATCTCAACGCAAACGCCGCCGACGATCTCTGCACACCCGTCGCGAGCCATGTCGACGTCTCGGCCAGTGTCCATTCCAAACGGACGGAATGACGGCACTTTCGACACGGATTTATATCATCCTCATGACAACGGCGCGGTCGACCGCGTCGCGGGCATCCCACGAACGACAAGACGCTTCTTCATCGGAGGCTATCGACAATGTCGACCCACCGTGGGGAATGCCCCCCGGCATCTGCGACTCTGAATGGAGTCATGGCGTGGGGTTTGTGGCATACCCACATCTCACCTAGTCGACGCGACCAACAGCCGCAACGTAGAGGCAGGCAGCTACTGTACAGGCTTGTGGGCCAGAAGCGCGCAGCCAGGCGCAACTGCGCCGCCATGGCTCTCCCTCCACAGCCGTGTGACTGTTGGCGCCATACATCCACCAACTCACCGGCATTCCCGTGGCATCTGTCAGGGACAAGGTCTCTCTCTCTAGGCAAGAAATACCTGGAGACAGGCGTCGCTTGTGGCAACTCTGCGCACTGCTGACGCCACGATGGTGTAGCACGAGAGGTCGCACTCGACCGTTGTCCTGTGGGGTGTCGACGAGTGTGTGTGCGGTAGCTCCAACAGGAATCCGCTTGTCCACTGGCATCGACGAGGCGCTGAAACATCGTGTGGGACAGAGAGCCACGTCGGCTCGTGGGTCATAGGAACCAAAACGACGAGAGGCGCGATGGCAGCACATTCCACACGAATCCGTTGTCCACCGTGGCGATTCTCCAGAGAGTGGCACGGTGGGCCCGTACTTAACTAGTCGGCGTACGTTGCTGGTGGCACAGCGTTGCCAGCCACGGAACTGGATGGACTGGTTGTGCGCCACATGATTGTTGACCAACGTGGCCGATGGGCATCTCGGTGATTGAGAGCGTGCTGAGAAGCTGCATCGCTCTGGACTGTCTGGCCCAGCAGTAGCACCCTTGAGGGTCAACGTTCCTGATGGTCGTGGTTCTCGTGCGCCGGTGGTGCGATCGGAAGAGGATGGCTCGCGACGAATGGGCAATATGCCGTGGTGGGTTTCAAATGCCATTCCAATGTCGTTCTCGAGGGGGAGGGTCGGTGTACTGCGGTCTGAAGGGGGTTGTGCCAGTCCTGGACCACGTGAGGCCGATGGACTTGCAACACGTCGAGAATGCGCTCTTTCCCTACCGCACCTGATTCAACGAGAACGAGTGTACATGGGAGTGCCCCTTGAAGTGTCGCTCTCGACGTGACGACGAGAATGGAATCGCGCCGGCCGCTTTCGCGTGACACCTTTTCTATACCACGCCACCGATAACCAGCATTACATCGCCCTTATTCGCCTTTGCTCGGGTTGAAGGAACAGGACATCGCCGTCGAGTGCTGCCCCTTAGTGTCTGAACAACGTCCACACGATGGTTTGTCCGATGCCGCTCATGCCCTTGAGTTCAAAGCCTTGGCGCTGCAGCTCGTCTAGCACGAGGCGCGGCGCCCATGGAGTGACGTAGTGCCTGCATCGTCACGAATGGCATGTGATAACCAGGCACGATTGGACTCCGCACCTGAAGGACTGGCACTTTCCTTGCACCAACGACGCGCCAAGCGCCTCCATCACCGTCAC